CAGATATCATGAGAGGAATAATGCAAGACTCTGAGAGCTATTTCTTTGTTATTTTAGAAAAGTGGATTTTGAGCACTGCCTTGTTCGTCAGTCACGAAAAAGTAGAAGAACGGTTCTCTGTGTGGTAATGGAGAGTATTCGAACAACTCGACAGTGTTCTCTCTCTGTTCATGCTGGTATGAGAGGTGACACAATGAGAGTAAGTGAGCACACATATCAAAATCGCTTGTATTGAATACTTTATCTCTGGATTTAAATAGGCATCCATGAGGAGAATAAAAATAATCAAGATGGTGATCCCAGTCATGGGATTTAAGTCCCACCTGTTTTTAAAATATGTTGCACAGCAGGCAGGTGAAAAATGGGCAGAGCTTTGATCCCATGATTGGGCCTAGCATCTTCACTTTTTTTTTTACATCCCCCAAAGGCATCCCTGCTTTAAATATGCATTATTCCATACTGATTTATTACAAAGTAATCTTCTATACATTTTAATAATCATTTAAATAAGATTTACAGAAAAAAACCAGCCAAATTAACTCCAATTTAATTGCTCTTGTAGTAGAAATAAGGAATGCTGAAACTGCTTTTCACCCAAAAATGTATAGTTGATCTAGTCAGTCTATATCAGGGGTGGTGAATTGTGGCCCTTTTATGACTTGTGGACTTCAACTCCAAGAATTCCTGAGTCAGCTGTGATGGTTCAGGAATTCTGGGAGTTGAAGTCCACAAGTCATAAAGGGGCCATAGTTCCCCATTTCTGATCTATATACACAAAAAATGTCTTGCTTGCCTGTTAAGTTTCCACATAGGTCAAAGATCTGCAGACTCTGAAATCAGTGCAAATTTATCCAGTTAAATGTATCATTCCAATTCATTTATATGCTTTGAAGAAGGAGGTTTGATGCATGCATGACATTCCCTTGCCTTCAAGAACAGTCTTTGTCACTTCTCTTTCTGAACCATTCCTTAAGCAAGTGCTTCCTTGAGTTGTGCCAATGAATGTGCCACAAATTTGCAACTGAAATTGAACCCAGGGATTACTAAAGTTCAATCTGATCAGATTTATCTGATTTGTACTTCAGACATGTTAATCATGCTTTATTCATTGGATTATTTGTCATTTGTCCTTGTTCATTAGAATTCTTGGTGATGATGACAAGGATGATTCTATTTCCCTTGAAAAAGTTTTACTGGAAAATATACTTTACTTTCTAGAACTTACATTGTAATATATTATTCAGATACTATCATTTTTAGAGAATGCAGTATTAATGCAGTATGCATGTTTCTTTTCTAATTAGTTTCATATTATTGATGAACATAATTACAAAGGATGTGACAAAGCAATTGTCTTTCCTGCACATACAACAATTGCATTTAGCATATTTGAACTTTATATTCGCCTGGATGGTGATTTTGGTAAGTAATATTTGGCCTGCAGTCTTGACTGATGGTATGATTCAGGTTATTCTTTTTCAGAGCCTAAACCTGAATACACCCATGCTTCATCTCACAATGTAAATGTAAGACACACTGATAATCTTATTTTGCATGGTTCCATAACTACAATATGACATGCCAAAGCATTTATCAATACTTTCAGTTTAGTAGGAGGCAATTAGGTTTCTCATTTTTATGAAATAATGAAGTGACTTTTATAAAAAATGTCTACATAGGTGAGGGAAAGTTAACCCTTCTCTGCCTTCTCTTCATCTTATCATAGCTTGTTCCTCCTCTCCTGTATATTTTTTTAGCTAAACTGGAGTTTGGCATAGCAAGAAAGCTGCTTGGGAAACAGCAGTAAAGAATGAATTGCAAAATAGAGGAGAGCTAGTAACATTGTGTTTTGTTCTAAAAAATGCAAGCTTCATTTTATTAGAAGCATAATAGAGACTGTAATAATGTCCAATAATAAGACTTGTCTGGGCTAAACAGCTTACAGCCAGTTAAACTGATAAAAATAAAACAACATACTAATTAAGGTGATTAGCCTAAAAGAAGTGCTGTTGTCCTGAATAGTTTGAGTCCAGGTTGAGCAACACATTCATGTAATATTCATTTGAAAACTCCATGTTTGCTGCTTATCTGTTGCAGCCCAGTTCAATAGTTATTTAACGGTTATTAACTAATGGGGTATTAAGTAGTGCTCTGATGCAATATATCAGATTGATGGTTGCACTAACTGAATCTGTAGTCTGGCTGAAAAACATCACAGTCTCCAGTTATTGAAGTCCACAAATCTTCAAGCTGCCAAAGTTGAGAAACACGGGTTTAGAATGAAAAAATCAAAAGGGGCCAAAAGAGAAAATGGGGTACACAATCGTATCTGCACTGTATTCAAAGGTCTTTATTCATTATCATGTAGTTTTATCAACTTTATTTACATAAATCATCAGAAAACCATTTGGGGTATAACTGATCTAGCAAAAAAATTGGCTTCCAAGTCCAAATGTCCATTGCTGAATCAACCTTCCTACACTGTAGATATTGTATCATTTCCTAATAATTCAATACTATTACCTTGGTTGTAAAACAAATAAAATGTCATTATTCTGATTAATTTTTTGCTGCATTTGAGTAACACTATTTCAAATATTTTTCTCTCTCCCAGAATTTTGTGTTGCTCCAGAATCAAAAGGAGGATTTGAAAAAGAACCATCAAGATCATTTTCACTAACCAAATTAAGGAAAAATTTGTTTCATCGAAGTATGATATTTAATATTTATTTACATTTCTTAGTTTAATTTAAAGACATTATTATCATTATTATTATTATTTAATAACAGTGAGATAGGTTTTTAAAATCAGAATAAGACTGTTATGGGACCAATTAAAATTGATTGTTTTCAAAATAAACATATTGCATATATTTTAATTAACATGATTGAATTTACTTCATATAAAATTGTAGATTAGGGAGACACCTTTCAATGTTCAGCAATAAAATGTTATAGCTATATTATGGTATTTAAAATCTAACATACTATAATCCAGATATTCCCAAATTCCTGCAATCAGTTCTCTGATCTAGATTAAGAGAATATAATCACTGAAGAAATTTTATATATACTTGATCCTATTGAGGAAGGAGGATAAAATGTATAAAATCCCCAATTAAAATATTACTCAGAGTGTTGTTAGCTGCTTTGAAGATGTGAAGGTTCGATATAACTCTGCTCTTAACATTTTCCATTCTGTAAAGGGGTGGCAAGTTTAATTTCTGTTACTGTGGAGGAATCAGAGTTTAACTTAAGTATTCATAGAACAGAATGAACCTTCCTTCAGACTATCCTGATACACAAATTCAAAGAATTTTTAGTTAACAAAATCATGGCTTTTTTTGTCATAGAACGCCCAGAATGGAGTTCCAGCACCTTTTTTGGATGGAACCTTGTAGGGTAGGCAAGGCGGGTTGTATGACATGTGTGAGTTCCGGCATTTTTTTTTTTTTTACAAAAAAAGCACTGACTAAAATTAATGTTTAAGTGACACATACCTAGGCATATTTTTGTTCCCATGCATATATTCATGAGATAGAAAAAAAGAAAGTAAAAATCACTGATTACGTTTGAATGAGATGTCATAATAGCATCCTATTAAGCAGCTAAAATTATTCTATTAATAGCGAGTGTGGAGTAATACTATGGCAGATTACATAATAAATGCAGTTTCTAAATGGAAGTGTATGTTGCGGCTATTTTACTGTGTAACCCATATAACAGTGATGGCGAACCTATGGCACGCGTGCCAGAGGTGGCACTTGGAGCCCTCTCTGTAGGTACGCATGCTGTTGCCCCAGCCTCCCCCTCACCAGCAGCTTGCCTGGAGGAGAGGCTCCCTCAGGCACAGCCCATGCACAGCAGAGCAGCCAAGCACATGGCAACTGGGCAGCAGGAGCAAGACTCCGCTCTCGCGCCCCATCATGTGCAGATGATGCTGCGGGGTGCAGGCAGAAGGCATGGCCACCATGGCGTTGCAAGGCTGCCTGGGTGATCTATGGTGAGTGGCCCTGTGGGTGGGAGGAGCAGGGGGGGCAGAGTAGGGGCGGGCCAGGGGGCAGGCCGGTTTTTGGGCACTCGGTCTAAAACGTTCGCCATCACTGCCATATAATGTGCCACTTGAATTTAAGACTCTTTCTTCTTTATGTCTGCTTTCTTACAGACAAAAGGGCGATGGATATCATTGTCCACTCGGATAATTATTTAGATGACCTTTTTGCAGATTATGAAAAAACAGCAAGCATGACTGACATTTCAACAAACTATTTTCAAGAAGGAGCCCATGTACGAGTGAATTTGCTTAATAACAACATTCCTAAAGGTCGTTGTTCTTTATGTGGTATGGGGAATTCCAGAAGGGAAACAGTTTATGGTTGCCTTGAATGTTCTTATAATGGACAAAAGTTTGTGCGACTTCATGCTGTGCCTTGTTTTGATCTCTGGCACAAAAGAATCAAGTAGATTTCTGATAAATGTTTAAGGGCTGGCTCCAAAGCTAATTGTACTTTGCTCCCTGTAAAACCAATGGAACTAGCTAACTCACAGCTATCTTTTCATCTTGATTTCAGTGGAATTTAAATGCAACTAACTTATTCTGGATCCAATTCTGAATCTGAACATTTGATTGTGCCATCAAGCTCTGTGAATTTTGACTGCAAACATGTAAAAGACAGAACCAAAAAGTTTTTTATTTGAATCTATGTTTTTAAAAGTTTTCTAGTTATAAAAATAAATATCAATTCAGAATAATTTATTAAGAGAATTTTGCTTTCCAAAATTTGTTTTCTGGGATTTCCTGTGATCTACATAAAGCAATATACGTACACTTTTGAGTTAAAATCTTAAAAATATTTTTTCTTAATCTAAAAATGTCATAGCAAATACATAGATTTGGAAATATTTGCCATTGAGGAATGTTGGCTCCAAAGATTTAGATCCTAGAAACTCTTGCATACTTTATGAGTCTTCTTTTTAGTTTAGGACGCAAACCAATTATACCCCATTTTCAGATTTTATTTTTTGCTGCACTTTATAGGACCATAATTGAAACAAATTTTAATCTCAATACAAAAGTGTAAAAATTACCACAGTGAATGTACATAAACTGGTATGTAACACTAAAAAGACTTTAAAATGTGGTTATAAATCTAAAGGATAAATCTCAGTGAAACCAAAGGAGCTGCTTCATTATACCTTTGTGCGCGATGTGTGTTTGATTCATCAAATCCAAGCCAAAGCTTTAAATTCCTTTGGATACATCTACAAAGACTTATTTAGGAAGAGGAGCGAGTACAGCCAAGCCATCCAGTTGTGATGGCTGCGGAACTCCTTGTGGATGCTCCATGGCCCATAAAAACTGCAAGATCCCCAAAGTCCATAAAGCAGTGATTCTCAACCTTTCTAATGCCGTGACCCCATGATACAGTTCCCCATGTTGTGGTGACCCCCAAGTGGGTGTGGCCACCAATAAGAGGGAGTAGGACAGCTAGGGAAAAGGGAAAAAAATGGCGGACAGCATGGTTTGGTGACCCCCGTGAAATGGTCATTCGACCCCAAATGGGGTCCCGACCCACAGGTTGAGAACCACTGCCATAAAGCAACAAGTAGACATTTGAATAGTATGTTTTTATAGTTCATCATGCTGGTAGACATTGTATTCTTTGGCAGATATGAAGCCATCGCCATCGTGGTCATTCCTTTTAAATATATCTAACAAAACAGTGTCTTTAACAGAAGAATCCCGCTTTTTGCCATCTCTTTCAAATTCTTTCTTCAAATAATGGTTTATCTAAAGGAATTAAAAACAATCATAATTTCAACTTGCTCTTATATTCATAATTGTTTTTATATTTTATTTTTACTGTATTCTAAGCCATCCAGAGTCGCTTTGAATAGCAAGATGTGCAGCACATTAATAAGTCTTATGAACCCCAATACACTGAGAATCAACTACTGAAAATCAAAATACCATATAAAAAGAAGACAAGCATTATATTCTAAAATATGTGAAGTTTCCCTCTATAGCAGACATGTCAAACTCGTGACGCCACATGACGTCGTGCAACGTATCGGGACGGTTTTGCCATTGCCGGCAATGGGGTGGGTGCGGCTTCCGGATGATGCGTCCGGCCTGCAGGCCGGCAGTTTGACACCCCTGCTCTATAGCCACAAAACACACTCTTAACTCACAAAACAAAATTTTTAGTTGCTGACTTCACACTTGCACCTTTAATCTTCTGGAAAATATTTTTAAGAAACATAGCAGGGCTACAGCATGGGGGTTGATTCTGGTAGATTGTGATTCTTCTAAGGGATCCATTTTGCTGGCAGCCATCATTAGTACAAGCCACCAGCAACTTACAATCAAGGAAGATGATTTTTCCAAACTACTTGTTTTGCATGAGGGATAAATCCAATAAATGTCACTGTTAAAGAGGAAGTCAAGTAGAATCTTCTACTAGGAAAGCAAAAAGAGTCTCAGTTAAAGTAACTCATCTGCAAGAAGGATTCAATGGTCTGGTTGTGTTTTTTGGCAAAGATGAACAAGACAAGCACAGAAAAAAAAATTGCTTGTTTTCTACTATAAATGCAACAATATAGGTAGTCCTTGACTTATTACTGCAATTGGAGTAATAAGTCATTATGGTCATAAGTTGAGACATCCATATAACCAGACCCAATTTTACAACAGTTTGTAGAGATCATTAAGTGAATCACCAGTCATTAAGTGAATCCATGGTAATTAAGAAAATGTTGCAATTGTAAGTGCGAACCCATTCTTCTGAATCGGTGTATTTGACTGAAAATCTGCAAAACATGTGGCAAATTGCAGTCAGGAGATTATGGGATTCTGTAAACCGTTGTAAAGGTGAGCTGAAATTTGTTCAAGTGATTATGGGAGGGAGGGTGGGACTTTTTATGACAGTCAGGAGTGCTTTATGGATCATAAAGTACCCATTCCTACCAATGTAATTTGGGATGGTCATTAAGCGACCAGTCATAAATTGGAGACTACCTATATACTCATGGCTAATGTCATAAAGTTTTGGAGATGAACCTGGGTTCCACACAGGGGGTTTAAAACAGGGATGGGCAACATGCGACCCGCCCGGAAATTGTTGAATTCTGAATTTGATCAATACTAGTCATCATAACTAATAATGAAGGTTGAGAATTGGTATCCAGAGTAACAACTTGTCCACCCAGCTTTAAAGCCACACTGAATTCAAACAACTCTGGAGGACTGATAAAAATAGCATTTTCTACTCTTTTAGAACAGACATCCAAAGTGAATAAACTAATTGAACTAGTGATGATTCAGCCATCCCTTTCCAAGAAAAGAACAAAAAAAAATTAAAATAAAAAAATGATTAGAAAAAGAAAGCAGTTCATACATTTATTCCACAATACTTCATAAATTGATTCTGTAAAACAAATGAAATGCTTTAATGAAGTGACTTAGAATATTATTCTTCATACCTCTTCCTTTGAAAGCTTTTTGTCACTATCCAGATCTATTTGAGAAAATGTTTCAACACTCCGTGGTCCTTTAGTTACTGCATACAGTTCAATTTCGAAGATCAGTGTTGCATTGGGTGGAATCTTTGCTGGTTCTAAGAATGTAACAGAAAAGTTATAGGAAATGCACATTCTGATTTCTGATCATTTTAACCACAGACCACTATATGTCAACAGCTCTTCAGCAATGTGGTAATGATGGATTTTACATCGAGGGAAGTGCTTTGCGGAACCACTGGGTTGGAGTAAATCTTCCATCATCAAAGACACAATGTAAATGAACAGTGCCCAATGCACTCTTCATCCTGAAGTCTTTTGCTGTGCCAATGGAGGATAGTAAATGGTAGGATCGGGTGCTTGGTTGGTGTTCTCACTCTGTTGACTATGATATGAGTTCTGTATCTGCGTCACATAGTGCTGGCAGATCAGAAATTAATTTCATCCTTCTGTTCTTATTAGTATATGGACTTTTAGGAATAAGGGAAAGAAGCTTTAGCAAGAAAACATTTAACATTTCAAGAAAGACAAAAGGACCTCAGAAAAGGAAAATGGACATCAAAATGGAATATATAAGATTTAGCAGGTTTTCAGAAATAACAACACCGAACACTGGAAGACAGATGCTATTATTGAAGGAGTTTCCAGAATTAGTCTGAAAAAGTGATTCACAAGCCATGCACGTGCATTTAGTCAGTAGAGGAAGGAGCTAGTCTCTTCTTCATAGGAGAACTTATTCAAAGTGACTACATTCAAAATGACTTGGTTAGGGCTACGAAAGACTTTTGCCTGAAATGTAGCAGGAGTTGCTTATACAAGTAAGAGTTGGATCATAGGGATTAGATTTGTCATTCCTTAATCTGAGAATTTATTCTGGAACATCCATATGTAGCTCTGAAAACTAAAAATTAAAGTATGTTCTTCATCACAAACGATTTTGAAATAAAAAAAATCATATAAAGAATTTACTGTTAATAAACAGGCAGAGACTAATACAATTCTCTATATGTATAAATGTCGACTGGCAAAATTTTCATGTGGATTTAGAAATAGTCAAATCTTGTAAGATTTTGAAAATCACTACAGACTGATTGCACAGATGCTTAAATTGTGAGTGCCATCTAGGTCTGTCACAGCTACACTGCTGCCCATTGAGTACTGTACAAACTTGAACCTTACCCATAATACGTCAGGTTGGCCAATTATAAAAAAGAACACCAATATTTCCTAAAACAACTAACTGAGGTAATTGAACATTTAGATAGTTATGCATATGTACCATTATATATTAGTTGAGGGTGCGGGGTTGGGAGGGTAATTTCATAAAACTGGGGCATTTCAATGATCATTATCTTGTCATTTTTAAAATCACATGCAGCAGCCACACAGACTACTTATATTTCCCCTCCCTTCTATTTCAAGATTTAGTAGCAAAGCCTAGTAAAAGAATTCAGTCACTAGCAATTCCAAGAGCAATACATACCACAGGAATACCCTGGAAAGAAGCAAAAAGCCACATGCATTCTTGACATTCTTAACTAGATCATCTTTGCCCAGCATGCAGGAGTATGCTCTGATAGAGAACAAGCAGGTTGTAGGTTCATTTGCTGCCTGAAAAAAGAATCATCATTAGTCTCCACAATGCTCATGTGTTGTTATATAATATCTGTTGACGGATCACAATGCAGTAACATGGCTATGGAAAGCAAGTTATTATTGGCGTTAGGAAAGTCTGTAGGGGGCTCTCCCCTCTGATTTCATTAACTTTAACTTAGAAGAAAAAGTGCATTAAAGACAGTTCTCTTCCTTCCTTTCTCTCCTTGCTGTATTTTAGGCTGCCATGTCCTTTGGCTCATTCTGTTCTACATGCTTTTTTGTTTTACATCTTGCAGCTAATAACATTATTAAATGACTGTGCAAAGAGCCTGAGAGTAAGCAGCAATTTCTCAGTGCCACTGTCACTCCATAAGTGCTGATGGATAAGTAACATTTACAGAAAAAAAAGCTGATTAAAAAAAAGGAAAAGTGTTACTGGTATGTAAAAGTGACATGCTCTAGCATCTCAATAATCCTCTTTAGTCTGGATGCCAAATTATGCAATAAAAAAGATTTTCATATTTAGCCATATTTTACCATAGCCCTGTTCTCCATAGGCAAGCGAAGGAGGAATAATCACTTTTCGTTTCTCTCCAGGACACATATTCATCATTGCAATATCTAAGCCTTTGATGACTTGGCCAACACCAAGGACAAACCATTTTGGATGGCCATCATTTTGTGTGCGACTGCAAAGAAAAGAAACAGTATACTTTAAGAAATTAGCTCAACATATTAGCATAATATCACCAATGATATTTTTTCTACATGGACCCAAAGAATGCAACAGGCTTTCCCTTTATCTTACACACTCATAATTTTGTTAGTATTTACACTTAATGTAACCTTGGAGTGGCTATAACTACAGATAGGAGCTTAATTATTAAAAACCAGCTTAAATCTCTGTTAATGGCAGAGATCCTCAGTACTACTGTGATCATATGAAGCTAATGAAGAGTTGTCCAGACAATAAGATACCTTAGGAAGGATCCACCAGTAACTTCCTCCATCCTGCTGAAAGTGCATCAAAAGTACAAGGGAGCTATCTAGTATATTTCTCATTCATGCTTCTTGTAATCAAGGGCAAGCATCTGCCGGTGATGCTAGTTGAAAACCAAATTATTCCTGCTTAAGGATTTGAGCAATGTAGCACCGAATCACCACATTAAGTCAAGAGAGTTGGTAGGAGGGACATTTGTATCTGAATACAATATTTTGGCATATATAGTACACAACTCAATCGAGTTTTTAATGCTTCCTGGGCTTGTAGTGTTTGTTTACAAATGTTTCTCATAGGTAACATAATTATATTGAGGGGAGATTGTTAGGGGAGACACAGGATATGCATACAGGGCAATACAGAGTTTTATCAAAGTATGCTGAGAACACCTGCATCCTCGGGGCATAAACCTTTGGAAAGCAGCTGAACTAAATATTACTAAAAACTGCCTTCGAGTACATCTATACAGTTGAGTAACCAAACTGTGACACTGCCAGAAGATCAGCCAAAGCGGCATTTTATCTAAAGTAAGCTGACGGAGGTGAGAGTTTAAAAAAAGTGCACTGCCATAAACTTACCTGCAATAAAACTTGGTCTTATTACTACCTACGTAACCGTCGTAATGGGCATTGAGTAGATCGCCCTTTTTGCTCTTGGGCTCGCAGACTTCGGGGACATGCACGATTTCTATCTGGACATCTTCTGCAGGGGGACCCTCCGCCTTCTGCCCATAGGACTGAATAAGAAGGAGGGCAAATGCCTGCAGTAGAAAGCAGAGTCCCGCGCGCAAAGCCATTGTTGCAAGTTTGGTCCTCGGGCTGCGTGGCACTATAGTAGCATTGTTCGACGTCACGGGAGCCGAGAGGGGCGTGGCCACGGCGTGGCCACGGCTATTCCCCTCTACGCAGGCCGCTTTGCTCTTTTGCCCTGTTCCGGCGGATACGTAAAAGGCGTGGGTGCGCCTTGCTCCTATTTCTTTGCCCCCTCACCTCTTTTCCCTCTCCCCTTTTGCTAGAGAAAGCGTGCGGTCGTTGGACTTTTTAGAGTGTTGGCTTTGCATTTCTTGCTGCGTTTTCTCGTTTAGTTAAGGCGAGGGAGGGTGATTATTAGACACGGATAGGATGAGCAGGGTTGAAGTCTCTTGCTGCCTCGTGGGGGCGGTTTCTTTTTTTCTCCGAAGCTATGAAAGTGAAGCACCGATCATACTTTGGGAAAGTTGCCTCTTAGGCTTCCCACCCCCCAATATTTTCTTGAACGGCTTCATTTATATTATGAGGTGAGCAGGCAAGCCTTCTAAACCGATGCCTGCGGCTAGCGATACTATCCAGCCAGACTGGAATCAATAGACTTGTCCCATAGGGATACTGGATATGTTCCTCCAGGCCAGTGTTTCTCAACCTTGACAATTTTAAGGCATGTGGACTTCAACTCCCAGAATTCCACAGCCAGCATTGCTGGCTGTGGAATTCTGGGAGTTGAAGTCCACATGGCTTAAAATTGTCAAGGTTGAGAAACACTGCTCCAGGCAAAGATGAATTAGATAGCAAAGAAACCAATGCGGTTAGATTTTATATAGGTGGGAGCCTGGAGTACACGCAGTCTCCCATCCTGCCGGGAGCGGGGGGAGAGGAGGAGTGGGAAAAGGAAGGCGACGATATTCTTCGGAGTTCCGCAACGATGCGAGCATGCGCGTAAGGGCCTGTTTTCTTCAGCCAGCATCATCTTCCTGCATCCAGGAAGTAAATGAGACGTCAGGGTCGATGGCAGCAAACGCCCAGGCCCGGGAAAGGGGGAGGGGAAGGGGAAGGCGAAGGCAGGCAGGCGAGCTGAGACCAGGGGAAGAGACGTCGTTCATTGTTTTGTTTCCTCAGAGACGGGCAATGAGTGAGTCCAAACACGACTGGACAGCCGCCTCTCCCACTGCAGCCGGACCCAAAGGCGGCGGCGGAGACGGAGGCTGCCCTTCGAGCTAAGCCTCTCCGCCCCTCGATGCCCATCGCGGATTCCGCCTCCTCCTGCTGCTCTGCTGTCACCGCCGCCGGCGCCTTGGAAGGCTGCGGGGCTCGAGGAGGGCCGGCCTTGCCGCCGCTGGTGCTGCTCTTGAAGGAGGAGAGGCGGGCGAGCAGGATGGTGCGCCAGGCGCGGCTCTGAACGATGGAAGGCGTCCTGTACAAGTGGACGAATTACCTCACAGGTAAGCTGGAAGGCAGGCGGCAAGGCGGGCTCCTGTCAGTCGCGCGTGGGGCTGGGCTGCCTTGTCCGTTGGCCTCGCGGCCTCGGTTGCTGGTTCTGCTTTGAAGACTCCGAGGAGGAATAAAGGCGCGGCCTCTCTCCCGATATCGAAGCAAGGGGAGGGGGGGAAGGGCAGCAGCAGCAGCAGCAACCTCTGGAAGAGGGAAAGAGGCAAGGCTTTGGCCGGTCAAAGTCTTGTAGGAAGAGACAGGGCGGCTGGCTGACAAGAGTAGCAGGGGTAGGCAACCTTGGCTCTTTTATGACTCGTGGACTTCAGCTCCCAGAATTCCTGAGCCAGCATAGCTGGCTCAGGAATTCTGGGAGTTGAAGTCCACGAGTCATAAAAGAGCCAAGGTTGCCTACCCGTGGTATAGGGAGACGAAAGGCACAGCCCGGATATGACACCTGTAGCTCTTTAGATGCTGGACTCCCACTCCCATCAGTCCCAGCCAGTGTTTAGGAATGATGGAGAAGTCCATTCCTGCGCTGAAACGGCTTGTCATTCAGAGCGTAAAGACACTGGTCCTGGTTTAGAGCGGGTTTCAGCATTTCAGCAGCTTAGTGGCTTGAGTACAGGTAGTCCTCGACTTACGACAGTTCATTTTAGTGACCGTTCGAAGTTACAGTGGCACTGAAAAAATAGGAACTCGTGACTGTTTTGCCCACTTTCGATCATTGCAGCATCTCTGGGTGACGTGATCAAAATTCAGACGCTTGGCAAATGACTCACATTTATGACGGTTGCAGTGTCCCAGAGTCATGAGGTCCCCTTTTGCGGCCTTCTGACAAGCAAAGTCAATGGGGAAACCAGATTCCCTTAAAATCGTGCTACTAAGTTATCTGCGGTGATTCACTTAACAACTGGCAAGAAAGGTTGTAAAATGGTACAAACTCATTTAACAAATGTTTCACTTAGCAACAGAATGTTTGGGCTCAGTTGTGGTTGTGAGTCGAGGACTACTTGCAGTAGATACCTTTTAAGCTTTCTACCCTGAATCTTTATTTCAGAAGAAAATCTACTTCCTTTCACTCTCTTCTTGTTTTACTGGCTCCCTAGATAATAGCGATTAGGTCTTTCTGGATGAAAAAATAATCAAAAGGGTATTTAAAATTGTCCTATAATTGATCTCATTATTATTAGGTGTATCAATGAGGAGGAACCACTTCAGGAAAGTTTGCACGTTTTAACATGAGTCATCTTAATGATACTTCCTGCATTTTAAGTATATGCTTGTACATCTTGTATATGCTTCATCTCATAAGCTGAATTATCCTCAGGATGGCTCTCATAAGAAGGCTTATATCATAAATATAATATTACTGCTTATTAGACATGATAGTTTGCTTGAAATAGTTTGGAATTTGGGGCCTTTGGTTAGGCATCTATTGATTGTGGTTGGTATTTAGAATTTATTTATACAATTTATGGGCCACCTGATTCCCCACAACTTTGGGAGACTTATAATTTAAACTAAGGGGGAAAAAGATCAGATTTGAATCATCAGACTTTTCTTGATGCTTATTTATTAGAAAGAAATACTTCGCTCTGCATCTTGTCAATACAGGTAGTCCTTGACTTACAACAGTTTGCTTAATGACCGTTCAAAGTTACAACGGCACTGAAAAAAGTGACTTATGACCATTTTTCACACTTATAACCATTTCAGCATCCCCAGGGTCACATGATTTACATTTGGATGCTTGACAACTGCCTCACATTTATGACAGTTGCAGTTTCCCAGGGTTATGTGATCCCTTTTTGCAACCTTCTGACAAGCAAAGTCAATGGGGAAACCAAATTCACCTAACTGTGTTACTAACTTAACAGTGCAGTGATTCACTTAACAACTGTGGCAAGAAAGGTTGTAAAATGGGGCAAAACCCTTTTAACAAATGTCTCACGTAGCACCCTAGAGTTTGAGCTCAGTTGTGGTCATAAGAAGGACTACCTGTAATCTATAAAAGACTATAACTAGACTCTGGAATTAAAGACATGCCCACACATATTCTGGAAGAGGTCATGCTGCTTCCATAATTTTACGAAGAAAACTACATAATTTACTCCATGAAGTCATTAGAGTAAAGTTAGATTTGAAAAAAACCCAATATTTTTTTCTTTTATGGGGTCAGCTGAGGGCAAAAATTACCGTGCTCTTTTGGGTTTAGCAAAGCCTTATTTGCATCCAGAATCAAACAGCTTTGCTGATTGGTGCAGTGAGAGCCATAAATTGCTTAATCAGGGCTTTGGCTTGACAACTGTGGCACTGCTTTTGGTTGATACCCTTTCTTGTTCTGCTCTGTGCAAATCTTTGGATTTCTGCAATATATGGAGTGCCTGGAGGATGTGGATCTGGATGAAAAGAAACTAGCTACATGACTCTAGTCTCTGGGGTTTGGGACCCTTGGATCTGAAGAGTTACTGTATTGCATTTTTGACAAAGTTGCTGCACAATTTGGAGGACTTCCTGCACTAATGACTCCTGCTCAAAGAGCAGATGGCAATCATGTCCTGGGGGGCCTTTGCACACATTCAGCTTGTGTGTCAGCTGCACCGTTGTAGGACTTGGAGTTTCTGCTCATAGTCAGTCATGCCCAGGTCACTTTCCATTTTGGACTATTGCAATGCACCCTACACAGAGCTGCTCTGTAAACCACCTGCAACTGGAATTTCTATCTAATCCAGAATTCAGCAGGGTGTGTAATTCTGGACACCCCACAGATGAACCATGTTAGACTGCTACTGCTCAGCTGAATGGGCTTCTTTCAAGATTTTAGCTATCAGCTATCTTCCTCTCCTGGAGAACTTCTATCCACCTCACTAGATTGCAATAGGTGAAGTTCTCTGTAGGTCCACCCCCCCCACCATCTGGTGGGTTCTAGAAAGCAAACCTTTCTTGTAGGTGTGCCTAACTTGTGCATCTGCCTCCCCTCTGAAGTGTGCAGGGTGCCAAATCTCCTTGGCTTCCCAAAGGCTGCTAAGATGAGCCCTGTATTGATGGTTTAATGATGGGATTGTTATAGTGCTTGATGGTATTAAAAGATTTTTCATTTTTTTGTATCTTATCTGTCTATTTGTTGTTTAGAAAAAGAAACCTATAATTTGTCTATTTGTTGTTAGCCACATAGAGCTACTTTATATAATATGACAGCTGTATAAATCTTTTAAAATATCAGATACATAAGTTTAACATGTCCATCTGTGCCAGCAGAGTGAATTGCAGAAGTGAAATTTATCAGCAATTTAAAGTTCTTTAGACGAGCTATTTAGGTCTTTCTATCTAATAAATATCAACTTTCAAAATGTAGGTTGGTCTATGTATGTTATTAAAATGGCAGCATTTATTCCCAAACATAATGTAAATAAATATAAATCTTGCTTTCAGCTGTAAGTTCTATATATGAAGGATGGTGTTGGAGTGTATGTGAAAATTATATTTGTAGCAAAACAGATGAACGTTGTTTTCTGCTATTTTCTTAGGTTGGAAGCCTCGCTGGTTTGTTCTGGATAACGGGATATTATCCTATTACGATTCACAGGATGATGTTGGTAAAGGCAGCAAAGGAAGTATAAAAATGGCCGTTTGTGAAATCAAAGGTAAGATTAGCACTGTGGAATTTGCCTTTTATTTTGGCCTGTGCAGTTATCAGAGCTAAGGCGTGGTGGCGTACAGTTAGACTTTTCTGGTTCTAAATTGTTTACTTGTAGGAACACACAATAGGGAGCCATAGCAACTTTGGGGGAGAAGAAGGATCCCAAGAAACGGACATGAGCTCAATTCTGGAACCAAACATAGTTTCCAAGACTGAACATGTCCTTGAGACATCTTTTTCCTTAGTTTAAAAGTACGTCTGCTTCTGTTCCTGATCCCACTAGGTCAGGGGTAGGCAACCTTGGCTCTTTTATGAGTCATGGACTTCAACTCCCAGAATCCCTGAGCCAGCCATGCTGAGGGGAAAGGGAGAGGTTTCCAAGCTGAGCCATGCTGGCTCAGAAATTCTGGGAGTTGAAGTCCATGAATCATAAAAGAGCCAAGGTTGCCTACCTCTGCTCTAGAGCCTTTATATTTGGGAGATGGGCAGTTAAATTTGATATATGAATACATTTTTATTTAGCTAACACTTTTCTTATTCTAAGTGATTTTACAAAACGTATAAGCTTATTTTATGTTTTGTCTCTTTCCTAAGTTCATCCTACAGATAGCACCAGAATGGAGCTAATAATTCCAGGAGAACAACATTTTTACATGAAAGCTGTTAACGCTGCTGAACGACAGAGGTGGCTAGTAACCCTTGGGAGCTCCAAAGCTTGTCTGACAGATGCCAGAACTAAAAAAGAAAAAGGTGCCTATGTTTTCTAAAATATTATGGAATGGTTAAAAGTTACCTTCTTGAAACCCAAGTAGCTTCTTCAAAACCATCAAAAGTACATGTAACATTCGCTACTATTGCCAACATGTAATTTTATTTCTTTTTCTTTCATGATTAGAAAGCATCGTGATTCACTTCCTATGTGTTGAACAGTAGGGGAGCTTTTGTAGCCATTATGGCTTTGCTTAACAGAATAACTGAGTTGGAAGGGACCTCAGGGGTCTTCTAGTCCAATCCTCTGCTCAAGCAGGAAAGCCTATACCAGTGATGGCAAACCTATGGCACGCGTGCCAGAGGTGGCACTCAGAGCCCTCTCTGAGGGCACAAGCACCATTGCCCAAATCCCGCCTCCCCCTATGGCCCCCTCCTCACCAGCAACCCCCCTGGAGAATCATCCCCAAGCACAGCCTGCGTGGAGCAGCACAGCCAAGGACATGGCAGCCAGGCGCTGGGGACAAGACTCTGCCCTCATGCCCCATCATGCGGAGTTGATGCTGTGGGGCATGGGCAGAGGACGTGGCTGCCATGGTGCTGTTGGGATGCCTGGACGATTGCGGTGGGCCATGGAGGCGGTGGGTGGCCCTACAGGTGGGTTGGGTGGGGTTGGGATGGAGTGGGGCAAGAGGGAGGGGGAGGGGGGACAAGGCTGGAGTTGGGGCAGAGTGGGGGTGGGGTCGGGATTGTTTTGGGGCACTCGGTCTCTAAAAGGTTTGCCATCACTGGCCTATACCTTTTGAGACAAGTGGTATGCAGGGTGCTTCCTCTCCATTCCATCGTAAACATTTTGGGAATGTCAGTGTTAGAAATTAGCTGAGTGACATTGAAGTTGCTAAAGTTTTTTCTTTGTTACATGTATTCAGATCTGTTCCTTTTGTTGAGTTGATTTTGTTGAGGTGTTTTTACTTAAAACTAAAACCCACTGGTTTTGTGGATCCTGTTTCAGGGTGCACATAATTCTACTGCCCTGAGCAACAATGAATGTACAGATGACCACAACTGAGCCCAAATTTCTGTTGCAAAGCAAGACATTTGTTAAGTGAGCTTTGCCCTAGTTAATGACCTTTCTTGCCACAGTTGTTAAGTGAATCACCGTTGCCAAGTTAGTAACACAATTGTTAAATGAATCTGGCTGCCCCCATGATTGCTTGTCAGAAGGGTGCAAAAGGGGGCCTGGAACATTGCGACCATCTGAGTGAGTTGCCAAGTGCCTGAATTTTGATCATGTGAGCATGGTTGTAAGAGTAAAAAATGCTCGTAAGTCACTTTCTTCAGTGCTGTTGTAACTTTGAATGGTCACTAAGTGAACTGTTGTAAGTCAAGGACTACCTGTACTCTATGATAGATTAGAATGTGTCAGTCAAGTGAAGAAAACTTAGATAATAGTTCTTGGGATCCTCCCAGTCAGAGAAGCCAGATACTTAGGAAGACTGCAGATTTCAGAGTGATTCTGCAGCTGGACATGAATAGTATAAATAAAGGAAGGCAAAATTGACCCATATACACTAAGACTGTTTTCTGTGTAACATAGCATCTCCGCTTTCAAAGGAGCCAACACTCCTGCCATCAGTCACTTTTTCAGGGTGCATCAAAACAGTTAGCATGCTCTACACACTTCGTAAACCCATTGGAAAAAACGGATTTATGAAGAACTACAAAACAGAGGTTAAATTGGAAATTGGCAAAAAGATCAGAAGTTCAACAAGTTTGCAAGGCAGTTTGAAAGAGATTAAATGTGAATATTGATGCTTATTTTTGAGGACGGTACTTATAGCCATGATTAGTGAAGTTTCCATTTTCTGATATTCTTCCAGAAATAAATGAAACCAACGAATCTCTAAAAACCAAAATGTCTGAACTGCGTCTCTATTGTGACCTCTTGATGCAGCAGGTCCATACAATACAAGAATATGTTCATCATGATGAGAATCATTCCTCACCTAGCATTGAGGTAATATATAGGTAATATTCACCTATTTAAGTTCTTGGATTATAAAGATGTGTAACAGTATCATGTTGGATCCATAGCTTTATCTGAGAGTACCTTAGTAGCTCATCACTGCCATACTACCAGTAATAATTGAATCTCACAGATATACAGAATACTTTTAGATTATATTTTTAAATGTTTATTGTTCCCTTCAAATGTAGTAAAACCTTAATTTAACTGGTTTTTTGGAAGTATGGGTTGTCTCTGTTTTTAGCCTGTTAAATCCAAATGTCCACTATATCCAAATGTGTTCATTTTTGTCAACTTAGATCATTTTGCACAGTATAATTTGTGTCAGTATCTATCATTTGATCTAGATTGATATTTTGCGTGTCAAATTACAAAAATTGATAAAAATTACCTAAGCAATTCAATTGCTTTAGAAACAATGGACTGTTTGTGGCCAAAGTCTTAATTTTTTTTTACATTACATCTAAAGTTATTGATTGAATCCACTTCAACTTCAGTAATAAAACCCAAAGAATCAAGGTTTTAATGTATCAGTAAAATATCCCATACAAGAAAGTTTGGCTACAAAAATGAAGACACTTGAAACATGTAATAAAACTGTCACTGTATTTTCCTATTTAGGATTTCAGATTTTATCACATTCTGTTCCCTCTCTCTTTTCCCCATCTCTCCCGTTTTTTTCCCCTGTCCTTGGAATAGAAAGAATTGGCATTTTATTCTCATTTGCTGTGTTTTCTTCAGCAGTTTTGTAAACAAAGTGGATCTCCTAGTGAGGTTGTGGGGAAACAGAAAAAAATGTGTGTGTGTTTGTATATGTGTTCATCTACTTCCTTCCACACCTTATAAAGATAAGTTACTAAGTTAGGAGCTGCACATATTTCCAAGTTATTTAACAGATGGAGTATTTCAGAGAACAAGTGCCTTTGAGATCTGAGTCCAGCTAATAATTTTATAAACTATAAAGAAATGTTGTGATATAATCAAATTTTGTTTTACATTCTGCAAAAAAATACTCCAACTGTTTCAACAGGGGTACATTGGTTCATTCAGCAGCCCTATTATAATATAACATATGCAGTGAGACTACATTATGAAGTAAAATTGTTTTATTTATTTATGTATTTTATTTGTATCCCACCTTTATTATTTTTAGAAACAACCTAAAGCAATGAACACATTCGACATATCTTATAAATTATAATAATTTATAAAACATTTAAAATAGTGTGGTGGAATAAAAATAGGAAAAGCCTCTTAACTAGTTAACCTTGTTGAAAATTGCATTTATTTTACCCAGATAACTAAAGAAATTCTAGACCATCTGTATCTTGTTTCATTGTTGACCTAATTTATATTAACCAGTATCAGAAACATTTTTAGAAGTCATTAAACCAAGGTAATAAAAAAAATCAGTAAACAATTGTAAAGCGTATGGGTTAATATACCAAAATTATTACTGAGTAATGTAGTCTTATCTACCCAATTTATAGATTAACTAGACAAAATCTTAACTCTTCTATTAAAATAAACTAGATGCACCTACCCCTAATCTTATTATCTATGAAATATAAATCAACTTTTTTTTAAAACAAATTTTATTGGTTTTTTTTATTTTTTAAAACAAAGTATTCAGGACACACCATGGTTCTGGGGTAATCAAACATCCTAGAACAAAACATATATACATAGTACAATCAATACATCAAGTATTCCCTCTCTTTTTCCCTCTAATAGCATAGTATATTTAAAATATCCAATTCTAGCTTAAATTTATTCAACCTGATCCTGTTTTAAAGCTTTATAAATTTACAATACCGCAATCAAATTAACTTCAAATAAAAACATTTTCAATTCAGATATCCCTTCCAAATATGTTCTACTTTCTTAATTTAATCAAATTCTTATTTATTTCTTCTTCCACCAATCTCCCCTATTTAAAATAAAATATTAATCTATCCTATACCTATCTGATCCCTCAATTAATCAATCTCTTTAAGCTGACAAGATAATATTAGACCTTAAATCAATTCAATTAATTAAACAGAATTCAAATCTCATCCATTTAATTACTAATAACATCCATGTCATCAAAGAATCACATCATCATTAGATTTCAATTAATAATTCAATTCAACTCTAAAACATGTCTTCAATTTTCTTCATTCCATTACCTAATAATTTTCATACAAAAGAACCTAACATTCTAAAAAAATACATTCTTAATATTCTAGATTACCTTTAATCCATTATATAAAAAAAATCTCATTTTTAAACAAAAATATTGATCTACCTAGACATATCTAAATGTATATATCTATCTATCCTATACATGTCTAATCCATCACTTAATCAATCTCTTTAAGCTAACCGACTAGTGTCCAACCTTAAATCATTTCAATCCATTAAACAGAATTCAAATTTCATCCAGTTAGTTATCATAGCTCAGAACATCCCTATTATAAAACAAACAAATCATCTTATTTGATTAACATTCAATTAATTATTAATTCAATCCAAGTGTGAAACATCTTTTTACTTCAAACTCATAATCTTAATCCTTACATCAGTCCATAATTCTAGGTTGCCTTTAATCCAATGCCTGAAATTTCAAATTTCATTTTTCAAATATAAAGCAACTTTCGGAGGCAATGGCTATTTTCTATTTCATCTCAATTACCACATTATCAACAATATTTTCAGAATTTTTGTTGACAAAATCAGGATGTTGAAGGGCTAATTATTTAAAAAGTATATGTAATTCATGTAATTTCTGATCAGATTTTGTGTTGTAGATTAAAAGAAGAAAATACACTATTAGAATACAATGTAGTTGCTCAGTAAATGTACCTACTGAACAATACCATACTTAACCATTAAGGTATGAATATCCAGACTTTTGTGGAATCTATTTGCTTCAGATCAACAAACTCCTCCCACCTTATAAAACCTTTCTCAGCCTCTAAAGAAATAACTATTTGCTTCTGTCTATTTTGAAATAAAGCTGTTTACATCAGTTAGAAATCCAATATCATCAGAATCTTGGCAACCCTATAATATAAATTCACTTTTTGTTGATTGTAAAGTGAAAGGAAGTAAAAAGTACAGACCCCAGACCCAATTTAGAATATACCTTTAAAAAATAGTGATTTTAGAATCAGTCTTCACACTTTATAAAAATCACAAATAATAAATTGTTATGTGACACTTATGTAAGTGTAAAAACCAGTAATTCTTCTAGCCCCTTTTTGCACAGTCTACTACAGTCAAAATCAGTTTCCAAAGCATGAAAACCATTACATTTGTATTTAACAAATAGAGAGATCTTTGTGCTCAGGAGATGGACAATTAACAATTCTTTGTTTTTTTTCTGTAAGGTTGATTAGTTGTTGTGATAATACCATCCTGAATAATTGCTTTTACAATCTTCTATATAAAAGCAGGCGGGGGGGGGGGAATGCCATCTGTGCTGCAGTGGAAAAGAGAAATAAAATCTGCCATCTCTTGTTCAGGGGATGCATTTCAGGTTCACTTGCAAGAAACATAAACATTGACTCACAGAGTTAATGTTAGAGGCCATTTAGATCAGAGTTCCCCAACTTTCCGGAAGAAAAGGGAGCAGTAGGGAAATGTGCCCATGCGCAGCTCCGTCTGCTTGACAGTGGTGGTGCTAGCGCCCCTGCTCATGCGCAAATGGGGCCGCTAGTGCCCACACAGTGATGCTACCACAACTGGGGTGGCGCTCACCAGTTATTCCTGATGGCCAACAGTCCATGGCCTGCCCATAGGTTGGGGACCCCTGATTTATCTCATTAGCTCCAGCTCCTTGCACCGTTCATGTGCTCCTGTATTGATAATGAATATGTTGGCTGGAGCTTCTCCAGTTTGCCAACATCTGGAAAGCTGCCTGTTCTTCTCTCTTTTTAAATATTTAAAGTAATAACTTTATTACCACAATAATAAAGTTTACCACAACAAAAGTGTCTGAGGTGGTACGGTCAACATCTGCACCCTACCTAGCCATTGGAAAAATATTAGGTGTTCATCAAAGTCAGTTAAGTTCCTACAAACCAGCAGTTATAATTGTTGGTTTATAGTTAAATTACAGTTAAATTGGTGAAAGGTTTTGCTAGGAAACACTTTGCTCCAAGAGTTTCCAATATCTGCTCTTTCCTTTTGTTTTCAGAATATGAATGAAGCTTCTTCCTTGCTCAGTGCCACCTGTGACACGTTTATCACGACACTTGAAGAATGTGTGAAAATTGCAAATGCCAAATTTAAGCCAGAGATGTTTCCGTTGCCTCATCCTGATCCTTTAGTTTCTCCTGTGTCTCCTTCACCTGTGCAAATGGTTGGATATTCTTTAATGTCAAACATTCCTAGGATTTGGGGAACTTTGGGAGGGAGCAATAGGGGACAAGCAAGCATACGGTTCCTCAGTGTTGTCCTTGTACAGGCCACCAGGCTAGGCTTCTGCCATCAGTTATGAAAGTCTCAAACCTTACAGGAAACCTTGCCTTTAGAAGCATGTACTTCTGATAACAATCTTGCATGTTGTGGAGGATATTACCATATACTTTTACTGTCCAATAATATTTGTCTGTGGGCAAAAAACCAAGGTTACCTATGGCAGGCATGTCAAACTCGCGATGTCACGTGACGTCGTGCGATGTATCGCGACTTTTTCCCCATTGCCAGCAATGGGGTGGGTGCGGTTTCGTTGTGACGCATCTGGCCCGCGGGCTGGCAGTTTGACATGCCTGACCTATGGAGTTTAATGGAAACTGAAGACCTCCATGGCTGACTAGTCCCAGCCCTAAACTTTTGACCTTCCAAGCAGCCATGGTTTCTTCTCCTCCTTTGCTTAAAATAGTGCTTCCAGGTCTCCTTGCCCTTGGGAAACTAAATACTTAAACGCAACAATAAAAGCAATAATTATTTTTTAATTCTGATGTTATAAATGTCATTTACTTTCAGATAATGCATATTCTTCCTCTGTAAATTCTGAAGAAAACATTTTAAATACATATTTTTAAAATAATATTTCATTAGAAATGGACTAAGATACAATTAGTATTTCAAAATTTATAATAACCTGCTTTACTACTTACATTATTTTTTTAGATGAAACGTTCTGTTAGCCATCCTGGAACTTGTACCCTTGAGAGGTAAATATGAAGTTGTGATTAAATAATTACTATTTCAAAATCAAACAAATTAGAACCAAAATGTTAAAGATTCACTTATCACATTGTGAAATATTGCCCGATCCCAAATCAATGGGAACAGCCCATGGTCTGGTAATTGAAATTCACAGCCTGTTGCTTCATATAATCTCACATTAATTTTGAAAAAATGTAGTTCTGGTGAGTTTCTCTTACATGATATAATTGAAAATTAATTCATGACTAGATTGAATTCACTATGATAGTTCTGTCTTGTACAGGCAGTCCTCATTTAGTGACTGTTCACAGTTATGACCTTGTAAGTCAGGGCACTCAAAAGTGAAATATCGCATGACTGACTGGTGTACTACGGTAATCCTAGCACTCTCTTTGCGGTTGTTAACCAAGAATTGCAGGTTGATAAATAAATAATCGCCCCACTCCAAGCCATTCTGCTCTCGGTCCCTTTCAGCCCCAAGCCTCAGTAAGTTAAGGCAGGGCTTTTCAACCTTTTCACCCATTGTACCACTTTTAGGATATGGCAATATCCGAGTACCACCAGTCGCCTAGCAAGGTGTCAAAAACTTGATGATCCCCCCAAAAGGAAAAAAATGATAAAGTACAGGTAGTCCTCGACTTACAACAGTTTGCTTAGTGACTTTGAAGTTACAATGGTACTGAAAAAAGTGCCCCCCAAGGCACAGCTGAGCAAGACGCCTGCCCACCCGGCGGCGCTCTTCCTCCTGTTCAAGGTTATCATTGTTCTGAGCATTTCTGTTGAGGATTGGCAGCGGGGGTGGGGTTGATTTTTATCCCCCCCCCCGGTCTGCTGGGTGGTTGCAGCAGGTTTTGGTCACTTCACATCCTGGGACACTGTGACCGTCATAAATATGAATCAGTTGTCAAGCATCTAAATGTAAATCACAAGACCCTGGAGATGATGCAACATTCCAGCTGATCGGCACTTCTTCTGGGCTCAGCAGAAGCACCAGGATCACTGCCGAGCTCCAGCTGGAGCTTGGCGCTGATCCTGGCGCTTCCACTGAGCCTTGACAACTCCGAAGAAGCGCTGATCATGGCCCTTCTGCTGAGCCCTGACAGCCCTGCAGCTCCAGCCATCGCTTGCTCAGACTTGTGCGGTGCTGCCACCGTTCAGCTCATTCCCCTCCCCCGCTATCACTTTTCTAGGATGGCTGTGTACCACCTGCTAGGTGCCAATGTACCACAGGTGGTATCCGTACCACTGGTTGAAAAGCCCTGAGACTGTCTCCAACTCACCCCATCCACCTATCTCTACCCTATCTCTACCCTTTGGCCACCCTACACCCAGAACTGCCAGTTTGCCCCGGCAAACTGAATATGTCATAACTTGTGCAATACTCTAATTTTAGGAGCAGTCGCTTTGGAAAAGAACCAAATGTGTCTTCCCATCAGCTTTCCCACCGGTGGAGAAGAACAGTCTCAGATACAGAACCTTCCATAGATGTTCCCTTTGACGATACAGACAGTAAGGACATACTACCTTATGGATGTCGTCATTACTGTGCACTCATTTTTCTTACATCTTAGCCTGTGTTTTTGCTAGAATAACAGTAAATCTCAAACTAAGTTACAGTAACTCTCTTGCACTACACTTGTTCAATTAAGATGGATTTAGTAGTTAAAGATAGAGAACAGGCACAATGCTGCAAGTAGCGAAAAAGTGCACATGAAACACTGAAGTGGTAATTCAGAGACATATTTTTCCTAACTTTAATGATGTTAAGCAGTGGCAATTTTCTTATATAGTAGATGTATCTTAAGTTAAAATTAAACTCAGTGGTATTTCTTGTGGTGTGAAGAAGGAAGATCAGGATGAAGAATCGGACAGTGTGAGGACTTAAGCCTCTTTTGTAGCGTCTCATCTCTGTCTGACTGCAATGACTAAAAGTCCAACGCAGTGTTTCCCATTTGGGGGTGAGATAGTTTTAAAAAGCAAGGGAAGACAGCCCCCCCATGCCTCTGTAGGAAAAACTCAGGGAAAAAAAATCCTTCTTTTACTCTTTCATGTTCCTGCCACTATAAACCACTGCTTCTGCCCATTGTGCAGTCCTGACTTACAAAGGCAGTCCATTCCTGTGGTCAGTTTTCTGAACTGCACACAGGATTCCTAACACCTGGGGCTGGGTGCTAGTTGAGCTTTTAATGGGATCTCGTACCTGAGCCGGTACCAGTGCACTAGCTTTCTTCAGAAGGGATCTAACTCTGAAATGTGATTTACTATATATGTAGGACTTCGATCGTGGGATGATTTCTTGGGATAGTGTAAAATATATGGCAATGGGAAGGCTGGCATATCAAAGGCTGTTGCTAGCCTAAGTAAAAGCAATAGAAAAAAATACTTGTAGCTCGGGACTGAACTGTGGAGCCCTACTGAATTTCATCAGCCAACTGGGTAACATTTAGGGATTAGGGTACACTGACAGGGCAAGGCACTGTATATAAACAGAGAGCAAACCCCACTACCTTTCAGCAACAAAGATGTTACCCAGTTGGTTAATGAAATGTCTAAAAAAAAACCACCAACCAAGTTCAGAGAGCATCAAAGACTCTACAGCAGGGGTCCTCAACCTTGTCAACTTTAAGACTTGTGGACTTCAACTCCCAGAATTCCTCAGCCAGCAAAGCTATCTGAGGAATTCTGGGAGTTGAAGTGCACAAATTTTAAAGTTGGCAAGGTTGAGGACCTCTGCTCTACAGGTAGATAATGCTTGCTTAAGTGGACAAGTATCTGGCCTAAGAGCTTCCTAGGTATCTGTCCACATGAAGCAAAACCTGCCCGGGAAGAGTAGAGTTAAGGCTTCCTTTGGAACATCTTTCCTTAGCTCACAGCCCTGTGATTCAGATAACAATAATGTCTCCTTGCATGAAGCAAGCAAAGAAGGGCAACTTGACTGAGGTGTGCTTTTCATGTTGCAGGACTAGCAACATTCAATTCTAAAGGAGCCCTCAATGGAGATTTGGCACCACCGGCTGTTCCTGAAGCAAAGCTGTTGCTGTCTCAGAAAGCCGGAGTAGCCGAAGAGACTCTTTCTGAGCCAATCTCCTGAGGAAAGAGAAGACCCCACTTCCTCTGAGTAACGCTATGCAAAAGCTGCTGTAATTCTGCTCTTATCGTGGGGGAGTAGTAGTCCCCCATGTGAAGGTTCTCTCTGCACTTTATAGAATAAGGTAAAAACTATCTTGGACGTGTATTTTATCTTTATATAGTTGACTTGCAAAAGTATTTTCCTAAAAAGAAAATTTCAGTTTGGGTATTTTTTAATAGATAGGTGGATGCATCTTTGTAAATACTGCTCTTCTTTTTACTGGGTGTGATAGTCAGACCAGCCTTGAGAAACAGGTTTCAGATCTAGAATAGGGAAAACCTTGTGCCCTGGACTGATCTGCTGAATTTCATCTCAGAGTTGCTTTACCAGCAATGCATTCCTCTGAGGACAGTCTCTTTCCCATTAATGTCAGTGGCAATCCATCATATTGTAATGGCACTTTTTATTTCAGGACAAATTGGTGGTGGTGTTTGTGAAAAGAAAGAGGTGGTTCCTAAAAGGTATCTCGTAAGTAATCTCTTGCCCACCACTGTCTTTTTTATTTTAGAGATAACCGTCTAGATTCTTAAAGTATATCTGAAATTCCATTGAACAAGGTAGAAGGTCAATGAATCAGAGGGAATATTTCAGCCAAAATTAAACACTGAGTTCCACCAGTGCTATCAAGCGAAACGGATATGCAGAGATTTGCTAATGCTTAATTTTAGTTAGACCTTACCTGATCAATTAAATCCCAGCCTAATCGTTCAAAGCATCTGCCTTTTCTTCTTTCACTTGCACCCAAAAATATAGCCAATCAGAAATATGTCATGGATGTGCAGTATTTTTCTAAGCACGCATATAAAATATGTGATTGTGAGGCATTATGCTATACACTGGTTAAAGATATTTTAACATTTTAAAAGATACGTATTCCTTTTTGCACTATTAAATGCCTATTTATTGTTACTGTGATGAAGAGATAAGAAGAGGGGCTTAATTCTTGCTGAGGAGATTTTTCTCACTAAATATGCCTTGTGGCAGTGTTTGCTTGTTTGTTTTTTCAAGTTAATTGGGCAGAATTCATCCAGTGTTGGGGTTTACAGCCTCAAGTAAAGGCATATTTTAATCTTCTTGTGTTAAACAATGCTTCCTTTGCCTGGACTGACAACCCCCCCCCCAACTTTTCTTTTTTAGTTCCAGGCAAAAATAATATTCAGAGTGTCTTTTCACCAAAGTTTTTTTTTTAATTTAATGCTGCTTTATAAAATCTGTTCTTCAGCTGCTGTTGTAATGTATTCGTGTTTGCAGCAGAACATGTATGTCAATGATCCTTTATACCAGTGTTTCCCAAACTTGACAATTTTAAGGCATGTGGACTTCAACTCCCAGAATTCCACAGCCAGCATTGCTGGCTGTGGAATTCTGGGAGTTGAAGTCCACATGCCTTAAAATTGTCAAGTTTGGGAAACACTGCTTTATACCAAAGGGAGGGTGGCTTTCGCCGTGGTGGGCAGAAAAATACAGCAAGATCCTCTCTTCTGTTTGCACTCCCTGCAACTTGCTTCTGTCGATGCTGGGAGGCCAAGTTCTAACTAAAGCACGGAGCAGCCATCTATGGCAGGGGTCCCCAACCTTGGCAACATTAAGACCTGTGGGCTTCAACTACCAGAATTCTTCAGCCAGCATGGCTGCGTTGAAGTCCACAAGTCTTAAAAGTTGCCAAGATTGGGGACCCCTGATCTATGGTACGTCATGGGCCCGGTTGGTCCAAAATCGCTCTGGCAGTGCCACTCTGTTTCTGCCACAGCAAAGAGGAAAGATGGGACTTGAAGTTCAGCAATGTTTGCACAGACATGTCAGAGGGGTTGCGTCCAAAGTTGTCAAGTGTTTTGAAATGTATGTTCTTGTTTTTTATTCACTTTGGAATAGATTTAGTTAATAATGTATTGACCATGGAACACTTTTTTTAAAAAATAAATAAATAAAATTTTTTTCCAAAAAAAAAAGTAAGTGTTCAATAAATGCACTTTTTACATAGGCATTCTCTCATTTTTATAAATCCAGCCTCTTTTTATAATTGCCTAATTTTTGACCAACTGTCATTAGATTGCAAGGATACAAGCAGCTTTATGTAATTTGGTGCTCCTCTGATGCATTCGATTGAAGCTTATACAGTGCTCCAGGCAGCATAGCTAATGGACACCTCACCCAGGTGGATTGAGGGGCAATATGGGTAGGACCTTGACTCTCATTTGCTATCTCTCTAAGTCTGCACTCAAAACAGCAGGTACAACTCCTATTCCTAGCCAGGGCATCTAAGGGCTACACTGGGGGCAGGGGACTGATGGCAAGAGTAGCCCAGGAGAACTTGTCATTGTTGAATTGGCCTACAAATCACTGCTGCTTCTATGATTGAGCCCATCAAGGTTCTGGACTCCAGAAACCCAATGATAATGCTTGAGAGACCAAAATGCCCTATTTGCAAGCCTATATGCCCTCATTGTAAACCTTTGGGTGTTTTCATGCATAACGGACCTGGGGTTGGGGACCCCTGCTCTACAGTACTTCATTTTATAATAATGGCTGAAATACTTGAACAAATTGGCATCACAAAACTGCTCAGCAGTTACACATGCAAACAAAGGCAGGTTTATAATTATTTTTGCACTTAACACCAAACTGCACTGGGTCCTGTTTGCACTATATTAGAGACTGCTAATCCTCTCCAACAGTGAATGGAAGAGCAGAAAGGGTAAAGCCAAAGGCCTGTGCTCATTTTTGTTTCCAAGATGTGCAATTGTGTTATTTTTCCTTTGGTTCTGGTGTTGTCTTAAACTTTTCACTCTTAAGACTGAGCATATATTTAAAGTACAACTTTTATGAGTAGGAGCGGTAATGAACTCTGTTAGGCCTTCTCTGTTACAGAGGTGACTTTCTCTATTTTGGAAAAAAAATGCAGAATGAGTTTGGTAATCCTGTGAGTGGAACACTTTCAGGTTTCAAACATCACCCCCAGATTTCGATTGCAAATCACATGTGACATTTGCAATTTTGAACAAACACAAGCAGTACATGTAAAAAAAATCCCCAACTCTCCTGCTGCTTCCTTTCCTGGTAGAAAAATGCAAGGCAGGAGTCTCACATATTTAACAACGGAATGATGAAGGAAATTCCCTTTCCTGTTAAGCACTTTTTGCTTTCATGCCATTATATTTTATTTAATTTTTCTTTTTAAGAATTAGGGATGTGTACTGGGAATAAAGTATGTGGACTTCAGACATGTCAAACACAAGGCGCGCGGGCCAGATCCGGCCTATGGAGGGCCCTGATTTGGCCCCTGGGACTGTCCCAGAAATATCAAGGGACCAGCCTCTGCTGCCCCAGCACTGGCCCACCCCAACCCAGCTCGGCGCCCCTCCCCAGCGCACACATGAAGCAGCAAGCACTCATGGGCTGGTGGTGTGCAACAGCAGTTGCAGGTCATTTGCCTCACCCCACCCCTCCCCTCCCAGTCTAACACATCACGCCCAGCCACGCCCTGCTTTGCCAAGCCTCTCCTGCTTTCTCGTGCCTTGCCTTTCCTTGCTCAGCCCATGGTGTTCTGTAAGCCTAGCACCCTAGGGCATGCCCAGCTTGTGGGATGAAAGGCGCGGAGATGGGAACGTGTGGTGGCACAAGCCAAGTGTTGGCTAGCTCCCGGTCACGGTCACCCTCTCTGTCCAGTGGTAGGCCTGAGAGGGGAACGCAGCACTCACGCCAGATGCAGAGCCTCAGCCTGGAACTGCCAATGGCCAGCAACGTGTGAGCCTCTGTGGTGGCTGGAGAGAAAGGGTGAGAAGGAGGAGAAAGCAGGAAGGGTTTCTCTCTGTGTGTGTATGTGAGGAGGAGGAGGAAGCCAAGGTGTTACAAAAAAGGGGAGCTTCCCCCTTTCTCCCCCCCTTTTTTTGACCTCCTCCCACTTTGTTCAGGTGCAGCTGGAGGAAAACAGAGAGAAGGGGGAGAAAGCAGAGAAAGTGTTTGTGTTTGAGTGAGTGAGTGAGAGAGAGAAATTGAACCAGTAGCTATTGTAAAGCATCACCAGCACTGCTTAAAACAATATTAAAAGTGTGTATTTTAAGAAAGAAAAATATTAGTAGTAATTTACTTAGTGCCGTTTGACCATAAAATATGTTGTTCTACATATGCCTGGTTGGACAGTGTGTTTGGAGGTGAGGGATGCACTGTTCATATTTTCCTTGGGAGAAGGTTCTATAATTGGGGTGTTGTCTCTGAGAAGGCTCTGTTTGTGGCCACTGTTCTATAAACCAAGCCGGGGGACATCTGGTCTAAATGGATGGTAAACAAAGATGATTAGAGGGCTGGAGGCTAAAACATATGACAAATGTTTGTGTGAATTGGGTATGTCTAGCTTAGTGAAAAGGACTAGTGATGATGACATGAAAGCAGTGTTCCAATATTTGATGGGCTGTCACAGAGAAGAAGGGGTCAACCTATTTCCCAAAGCATCAGAAGGCAGTAATAGATGTAAACTAATCAAGAAGAAAACCAGCCTAGAACTAAGGACTTGTGAAAACAGCTAACCAATGAAAAGGCTTGCCTTCAGAAGTTGTGGGTGTTCCATCACTGGAGGCTTTTAAAAAGAGATTGGATATTCCATTGTCTGGATTGGTATAGATCCCCTGCTTGAGCAAGGGGTTGGACTAGAAGACCTCAAAGGTCTCTTGCAACACTGTTATTCTTTGAGAGAAGTGCTGCCAACCTCTCCCCCTCCCTTCGTCCCTTTCTGGGCACAGAGAGAGGAAGGGAGGGAGGGAGGGAGGGAAGGAAGGAGGGGAAGGAAGCAGGAAGCAAGGGAAGGAAAGAGATGGGAATGAAAAGGAGGGAAGGAGGGGAGGAAGGAAGGAAGGAAAGGGAGATTGGAATGAGAGGGAGAGAGGGCCTGAGGGAAGTCCTGCCTTAGCATTTGGCCACCAGCAGCCCTGTTGCCCTTTCGCCATCCCCTGGTGGTCTCCTATGCTATTGCTGAGGATGCTTTGGTTACAAAGCTAGGTCTCTTCGCATGGAGAGGGAGTGGGCCTCCCTTTGACCCATGCACTTTGCCCTCCTGCACCCACCATGGAAAGTGAGCAGAGCAGCTGCAGCAGCCTCGAGGAGGAGGTAAGCGCAGATGGGTGCCCCCTCAGGGAAGTGTGGCTGGGCTAGGGAGGGCTATGGAGTCCTGGTGCTGTGGGAGTTCAAGGGCTGGGCTAGGCACTTGACCTCTGCTGCCCAGGGCTCCGGGAAGTCCGTGCCACTGTCCAGCTCCCCCTGCACAGCCTGAGAGGGACAGTGAGGCTCCTCCAGTGAACCATACCCCAGCGCTCATCCTGGTCCCACCCCCCTCTGCTGGAGACCCACGGATCCTCTCCAATCCTGCCCAGGCCCACAGAGGGGCCCCTGATACGAGTGCGGGGTTAAGCTGGTCATGCCCAACCAGTAGGCCACCCCTATGCCAGCCACCCCCACCTGCCCCCCCCAAGGGCAACCACAATGCTGATGTGGCCCTCAATGAAATTGAGCTTGACACCCCCTTTAAAGGGTTCATTTTGTGTATGTATAAGATTAAACATTTAAATAGGAGAAACTGTGTCTGGCAACAATCCAAAATCATATAGCTGAATTTCACAATGTTAAGGAACTGAAGGCTCATTTACAGTTTCTGGATCATGGGTTACCCTCCCCCCCACCAACAAACAGAGGTTGAAAGTAGGAATGCAATAGAACACAGAGGGAAAAGGAAGAAGAACCAGGACACAGAGTGGTAATGTGCAGGTGGCATGCTTTATTTAAAAGGAACATTATCTCAAGGAGGTTCAGTAAAATAGCTAAGAGCTCACTAACAGTTTACTACTTATGAAGCTAAACTAAATTTATATCCAGGGCTAAATGTGATGTTATAGCAACAGTTTATATTTTCTTTAAACTGTGGTTCAGAACTTAGTTACCCGGACTTGACATTATCTACCTAAATACTAACACTATTACACAATCACTGCATCCAAGGAACCTCCAAGAGTTGGCACTGCTTCTGTCCATGAGTTCCTAAACAGCTTCATTCAACAACGGGATAGCCAGGTGATGTTACTTTTTTTGTAAAGCTGTTCAGGCAGTCATTGTGCCAGAAACAATGCATAAAGAGGCGATGAACAAAATGCTGGCCGCTGACATTTTGTTCCATCTATGGTCAATCAGTCATGAGCAAAATAAAGTTTGACTTTGATCAGACCCAACATAAGCTATTAGAGTGAGGCTTACAGGAGGGTAAATGCAAACCTCACCAATGGCTTATGTGTCTGATTGCAAATAAATTCATGCACGCATGAAACGTGCACAGCATCATCTCTTAGGTGTCAGGAAAGGAGTCTTCAACAGGGAGCCTCTCTACCTGTTGAGGCAATCTTAGACATCAACTTTGTGTTGAGGCACCAATATTAGTTCAATGTTGAGCAGGGTATTCGTTCCGTCAGAAACTTTCTCCTACCAACGGTTCCAAAAGTTACATTTTCAAATGTCATAAAATAAATGGTACAAATCTCCATAACCGTTATCGTCGGCTATATACAGTATGTACACGTCACATGAAAAACTATGTTTTAAAAGTCACCTAACGATGACTATAAGTCATAGTGTAATTTCCAGGATCTTGTCTCGTTCAGAAAGGTATAAAAATACTATTTTAAAAACTATATATTTACAAATCAGTTATTTGAGTCAATATGAGTCACTTGGCAGAAGTCAAGTGCAAAGAAAATAATTGCACTTTTCTATATTGATCGAATGTTAATGTTCACAGTGGCAGAGTCAATGCCAAAGTCATTTTCTAAATTCAGCGTGTAAAGGCCCTCATCGTTCTTCTGGACATCCATTATGATAAACGTGGTTAAATCTTCACAGGTTTCAATATGGAATCTGCCCCCCTGACTAGAAATATTTTGCCCTCTGCGGGACCAAGTTATTTCAGGAGTAG